GACAGGTTTGAATCCGACAGTAATTGCTGAGCAACTCCATGAGGATTTTGGTCGTTTTAGTGTTGCGGTAAATGCAATTAATACGGAAAGTAGTTCCTCTCTGCAGTTGACTGACTTGTGTGGCGATTGATGACATTATATCGAAGGTTGATCAAGAGACTGGATTTCCCGCTATTGATATTTATCCATGCCAGCGCAATCATCTTGGACGGGGTGATGCGTGTGTGACTTTTAAAACAGATAAAGGGGCTCATGAAGCCGTAGAAGAGCTCAACGGTAAGTTCTTACAATCATTTGGGTAGCGGATGGCGAAGACCTGACACTTATGACATACAGCAAAAAATATTAAGAACTCGATGATCCAGGTGCGGCGAATGGATGTGCATACACAACGCATTCTGACGGTGCAATTCAAATTCGTACGAGATGCGTGGAGATGTACTGGAACCCAGTATCGCGCAGATGTGAGTATTTGGAATACCAAGTGTGATATGTGCGGGCGGAAGCGTGTGTATGGACCGAGCAATACCAAAATTGGAGCTGAGTCTTGGTTGTGCTCCCTGTAAGACGTAGATGAAAGTTATTGTTCTTTTGACAGTGATGCTCTAACTTTTATGTCTCTCAAACAGATGTTTTACCGCAAACGAAGCATTCTCTACGAAATGTCATGGCTGTATGGAATCGCTTCCGGAGGTCGACCGCTCGACATTTTACACCACTTAGATTTGATAGCGCCAGTCTAACTGGATAGGTAAAGAAAATATCGAGCTTGTTAAAATGAGTCAAAAATACTGTCATTATATCAAGGTATCTGGGTGACATACTGTTGAAGTGGAGTCTCTTACTATATTAATATTTGTGTCGCTTCCTAAGAGGGAGACAGAATCTAAAAAAGCGCACGAAGTAAATCCAAGGATATCTGAGGCCAAGCAATCTATAATCACCAATTCTCTGACATCGCTTTCTTCTCTAGCTAAGGACTAAGCTCATAATTCTGATCCATCCCATACACCGCTCGTTGTCATGTCTGCCGCTCCCGAAGGTGACAATTAGTAATATGTTATCAGTTTTATCTCTCTTCCATTTATCTATGTATGAA